ACTCCAAAACTCTTAACCCTAACTACACCAGCTACCGACGAAAGCGGCAACGATGATATCAACCATCGCCCTTTCCCAGCCTCTTAGTCATTCTTATACAGCCATCACGCTACCATCACCTCCATTGCGATTATCGCCGGTCGCCGTCACCTCCATCATGATCATCACCAGTTGCCGTCACCTCTGTGATTCACCTCCCAACACCTTCCCTAGTCTTTTCCGCCCCCTCTACAGTCCTCTTTGCCTCCTCTATCGCAACGCAACATGCCTCATTCACCACAATCGATCGATTAACAGAGAAAGAAAAAGAGATAGAGAGAGATTCGACAGTTGATGCTTGAACAAACCCTATAGATTCAATAGTTGATATCTGTACATACTCAATTGGTTCGACATCGATCTGTTCAGCACTGGTTGTCCAAACGGTTGCGATTTCTCCGACGATCTACAAAGAAAGAAAAAAGACGAAATGAGAAGGTTAGCGACTGAAAGAAGTGGAGAAAGTGAAAGGAAATGATGTGTATGGTTGAGGTTTGGGTATGGGAGGTGATGGCCGACAGTGAAGCGGCTGGTGAGATGTGTATGGAGAAATTGTGAGATGTGTGGGTGAGATGGTGGTGGGTGAGATGGTAATTTTATTAAAGGATAAAATTGTAATTTTGAAAAAATTCATTAAGTGTGTAGAATAAAGAAACTTGGCGTGTGAAAATAAAATTTCTTATTATGTTAGTTATGACATATTATAATTATGGTTATAACATTATTTTGATTATAATTTAAAAATTCTTTTGCTATACTTTATATGGTTATTAGTTATGACTCTCTTTTTTTTTTTAAGTTTAGATTCTCGTACGATTGAATTGTGGCATTTATAATAATCAAAGTTATAAATATCATAATTTATATTATAAATATCATAATTACCCCTACATGATGAATCATCTCCAAATTCACTGGGCAAGGACTTCGAGTATAGACCTGGGTCCCACTCGGCTTCCCTGAGCACCTTGAGTATCTCCTCAACCACTACTTTGCTCCTCTCCGCAGATAAATTAATCCCATCCCTGGATAGAAAATTGAATGGATAAATACACAAATGTATCTTATAATAAACTTTCAAGAGAAATATTCTGGTTTAACTAGTCCATAGTTAACTATTTTAGAGATTTTAATAAATTTAGTCGATAGTTTAGGAATTTATTAAATTTTAATTTATATATCTTAGGAATTAAATAAATTCAATGGATAATTTAAAAATTAAATAAATAATTTAACGATAGTTTAAGAATAAAAAATATAACAAACTCTTTTAAAAATATTGAATAATTTCTCTGAGGCATATGAGAGCGAGAGCTTTTGCTTGAACAGCTAGATTTTAAATTTTCATCATCTTGTACCGTCACTAGAGAAATTGCTTGTGCCTAAAGGCATTTTGTTATTCGAAAATTAATACTAACCACCATTTTTATTCAATCTAAATTCTCAATTGTGTCACTTAGTATATTTTTCATAATGTTAAATTTATGGAGGAGAATTATCTCTAGTCCAATTATATTGGAGGGCATTATTTTTCATAATGTTAAATTTATGGAGGAGAATTATCTCTAGTCCAATTATATTGGAGGCATTGTCCGTGCCTGTGGGCTCATTACGAATCTTATTTCGATGATCTGAATAGTTTATTTTGTCAGATATTTTGTGTATATCATTTATAATAAAATAAATAAATCGATCCAATAATCATAATATATTCAATTTTTTGTATTTGTCACTAAAAAAATAAATGACAATTGTGTTTTTAAAAATTGACTATTAATTTTTTTGTTGACAAAGATCGATCTAATTTTTTTGTATAGATGATATATACGAAGTGCCCGACAAAATGAACGATTTTGATTGGCTCGAACAATGCCCTCTAATTTAAATTATAGACCGGAGAGAATCTACCTCCCAAATTTATTTAATGTTAACTTTCAAATATGCCACTTGAGACCAAAAAAATAAAATAAAATAAATCTGTTTTATTATGTAGATATTGATTTTACCCTTTCTAATCATAAATTATCCTATGATCCAAAGCCAACAACAATACACATACCAAATTAAATTATTTAAATTTGACTATGTTTGATTTATTAAAAATTTATTTGAGATCACTTTATTAAATAAAAAAATTAAATTTAAAAATAACTTGAAATTTTATAGTATGACAAGTTTGACTGGATGGATATGTATCATGGAATTGTACAAAAAATTTAAATTACCCAATCACGGTTTAATTAAAATTTATTTAAGATTAAATTAAAAGATAATATGTTAAATTTAAACATATTTTTAAAATTAATTATTTAAATTAAATTGGAATAATTTATAAATGTTATAGACGCTTGAGATATGAATCTAAGCATTCATTCCATAAAAAATTTGCCACATCAAAAAGCAAAGCATTGGATCACCACCATTCATGAAATAACTAAGCTTATGGTTCACAATTAATTGTATTTGCAGCTATGGAATTCGAATGCACAAGCTATTATGTACTGTTTAATTTGTATTTGTTTAAATTTGGAAACCCGTCACTTTTATGTTATTTTTAGAGAAACGATAGAATAAGTGGTCAGTCTTTTGACATTCAAGTCTCTCACTTAAGGGAGAGGTCTTGGGTTTCACTCTCTCAAAATGTATGAGAGTGAGTTTCAACTTTTTAATGTGTTAATCTAACAATTAATCATCAACTTTTACCGATTCAAAAAAAAAAATGTCACAATATGATTAGTATGAATCCAAGACCACCAAATAAAACCACTTAAAATTCAAAATAAAAAACAAAATCGACATCATACAAAAAGTTTTGACGGACAAAATCTCAAATTTGTAGTTGAAGTGTGTCTCAAAATTTGTGTTAAGAGTGATAACATGTATATAAATATTTGAAGTGAATAAAATAACTAAATAATTACAAAAGTACAATTCTCTCTCATGCTAGATGTTTGTAGTGTTGTTGCTTTCAATTCTCTCTCATGCTAGATGTTTTTAGATATCATTTTGAAAAAGAAAAAAAAAAAAAAAAAGTTTGAAAAAAAAAGTTTTGCAAACACTCAATTTTTAGGAAACACTATGGATTGTTCAGAATTTTAAAAAATTATTTCAAATAAAATGAAAAAGCAATTCCAAATTTTTCATTATTTTTTGTTTCTAAAAACATAAAAATAAAAAATTTAAAGTAAAAACACAACAAACAAGCTATAAGCCAACATTCTATTCCATCATAAAAAACAATAAATTAAAGAAATAGTGAAGGAGAATAATAACTTGCCATGTGGTTTCCGGCACACACCCGCCGGCTAGCTCACGTTTGTGTTTTCAGGTAACAAAGCGACGTCGTACGGAGGAGCGTGGACTTGGTCAACAGGATTATACGAGGAGAATTATTTCCTCCCCGTACAATAAGTATAATATAATATAAAAATATATATTAAATTTAATATTAATGTTTCAACAATAAAATAAAAAATAAAAAACAATCAGTATGTTTGGTTTGAATTTTTTGGATTAAATTTTTTAAAAATTGAATTTTTTGATTTTCGTATTCTTTTGTTTTTAGTTAATATTTTTAAAATTTTAAACATTTTTTTTTTACTTTTTTAGATGCACCTTAGTTAAATGTATTAAAAAGTAAAAAAATTATGAAAAAATATTTTAAAAAATTAATAAATACATAAAAATATAAAAAATGTACTGAATTCTTGTATTTTTTTATATTTTTGGTATTTAGTAAATTTTTAAAAGATTTTTTTATAATTTTTTTTACTTTTTAGGTGTATTTATGTTAGGTGTGTCTAAAAAGTAAAAAAAATTGCTTAAAACATTTTAAAAAATCAGTAAAAACAAAAAAACACAAAAAATAAAAAAGTACAATTTTTTGAAAAGTATTTTTTGAAAAATGAAAACAAACAAGCTGAATAATATTCACATTTCACTTTTGAATCACCTTCCTGCCTTTAGCTTCCAACAAGAGAGTGAGAGACTAAGGGGTTGTTTGAGATGTCCTAAATAAATACACTTTTTATCTTTTTAAACTAAAAAGTTGAGGGGAAAAATATAAATGTTTGAGTTAACTTTTTGAATTTTTATGAAAAAATGTATATTAAAAAATTATATAAATTAGTGTGTAAGAAAAAATTAGAATTAGGAATTGTGCAGCCATACTTTTTGACTTTGATAAATAGTGATAACTTTTTAACTTTTTAAATAATTTTTTGACTTTTTAATTTTTTTTTTACCTTGCCAAACTTAGCCTAAAAGTGAAGTGAAAATTCATTGTCCAAAAGTTATTAATGAAATTTTAATTTCAAGAATTCAACTCTTACTTTAGACCTACTTTAGCACTTATTTGCTCCACTCGTAGCTGATATCAGAGAAACAAAAAGTGCCAGATATCCACACTTTTAAATCCACAAACTCACCAACACGAACTCACCCACACTAATGCGACAAGAAAGTTGAACATTATATCATTAACTGTGTAACAAATCAAAAATTGATACATATTTTACTACATCATTATGAATCAAATTGTGAGAATTTTTTTGTAAAGCCTCAAGCAATTTCCTCCTTTAAAACCCACAATTCAGCAGCTATTATAAAATTATTGCCAATAAAATATTGACCAGAGTTGTAAAGCCATGATGTATTAAGGATGACTCGACCTACCACAAGAAAAAATAGTTTTCCTGGCATTTCTTAAATCTAGGTAAAAGTCACAAAAAATCTGGCCAAAGTACAAATGTTATATTGGCAATAATCATGAATCGGATAATTCACGATTGTTGCTTACAACACCACAGTTTGTAGTTTTGCATACTCCAAACATATATCGGAAACAATACAAAATCATATATCTATGCTCAAGGGAAGTATTACACAATTCCAAACCGGCAATGAATCTTGATACCTCAGACTGCCTCGTTCGCAATAAGATTCGGAGGAGAACATGAATGTAGAGCAAACAGATAATTCAACCAGATGATTCAACTACAAGAGTTACAATACAATTTTCGAGGCTATACCGGGATGATTAACTTGCTTTGTTGTCATAATATAACATGAATAATAACTTACAAGATACCAAGGCACACTTAAGTGATGATTAACTTGCTTTGTGCACTTACCATGCATTGAGAAATTCAAACTTCTGCCAATGGAATGGGGCATGCAGACGAAAAATTTCTCTGCAGCCTAGTCCCATTATATTTCCTTGTAAAAGGTCCATTCTGATGGATTTATAATCGATTAGCAACTCAGTAGTGTGGCGAATCCTCACCAAATTCAGTGGGCATGGACTTCCAGTGTAGACATGGCTCCCACTCTGCTTCGTTGAGCACCTTTAGTATCTGCTCAACCACTACTTTGCTCCCCTCTGCAGATAAATGAACCCCATCCCTGGATAGAAAATTAAATGGATAAATACACAAATGCATCTTATAATAAACTTTCAAGAGTAATATTCTTCATTTGGCAGGTTTAACAAGTCCATGGTTAACTAATGGCAGTTTCATGCTTGTAGTTGATAGAACAGAGAGCCTATTAGACCTCAAATTTGTTAGAGAACAGTAGGCAAATATGCAGTCTAATAGCCTCATAGTGATCTCTATGAGCCTATCAGACTTGTGTAGACAACTGTCCCTGAATCTGCACCACATTTGCATAGTTGGGTAAAAGTAAAAATTGCATAACTGAAACTTCAAACTGGAGGTTTTAAAATACACAACTCAGTAATAACAATAGCTGCAACCAAAGCTAAAGCACTAAACAATAACCGGAAAAAATGCATCTACTTAGCTTCTTGAAATGTGAAAACCATAAAATCCTATATATATATATATTTGTGTAAGCAAAAATACCATCACCACATGATAAGAAATAGCATCACCACGTGAAATCCATCAGCAATGGAACTAGACATTGTTTATGCCGGAGGCCTGAGGAATAAACCTAGGTTTTGAAGGCATTGCTTCTTTCGGCACACTTGGTGCATAATTTTGGATGTATTTATCTAGTATATGTATAAGTACCTCATCAGCAATTTTTTCAGAAAAATTTTCAACATCAACCATGAAATGGAACATAGCATGGGTAAAAATCAACTTCAATCTAGTCTGTTACAAATGAAAGAAGCTCAGAGGCAAGTCTTAGTAAATTTATTGCTAGATCTCAGCCTTTATGTGCTGTCCATGTTATATACATGTAAATTGCCTATACAGGTGTAGTACTTAATACCCATCTTCCAAATTTCCAATTTGAGCCATTCCAATAATTTCACTTTCCCTTAGATCTCTAGTGTGATAAGAGCTATGAAAAGTTGCAGTACATTTTCTTTAAGCTTTTAGACTTTTTTGACTGAGCTCCACTCTGCGTTTGCCTTTCCATCTGTGATGCATAGATCGAGTGCTTATAAACCTCAATAAGCAGTTTATATTTCCCCATTCCTCGCAATAAGCATGGTCAATTTGATGATCTTAACAATACAAGTAAAAGAAAATACGCTTCACTTACGTAAAGCAAGCAGTTGACCAATCATCTCGTTGCTGAATTGCAGTCCAAAGATCAACAACCTTCACACCCATCTCCTGGCACAACTCTACACAAGCTTCTGAATAACTTTGGCATAATTCATTTGTTCGCACTAGCTCACTAAAAATTTTACTGTTTCTGAAGGTAAAACTAAATTAGAAGATAATCCTTAAATGAGAACCCAGAAACAAGATAGATATGCATTTAAGCACCTTGTGTTTTCTTGAACTTCGGCCTCATTGACAGGTGGACAACTAAGGAAAATTACACGCGTTGTGTTTGAAAGGCTCTGACATTAAGATATGAGGTTAGATTGTCCATCGAAAATTATCCTCAATTAGAAAAAGGACCTGCCAAAATAGTTTTAAGGGTGGTGCGCCCTCTCCATTAGGCTCTGTTTGGGATCAGCCAAAAAAGTCAACATTTTTTTCTAAACTTTATTGTCTTAATGAAATATTTTTAGATTTATGTAACCAATTTTACTTTTCAACTCCGTCCAACATAGAAGGATCTAAAAGGTTTCAAAAAATTGAAAAATCCAAACAGAAGTTCACTAAAGACAAAAAAAAATTGAACTACTTAGTTTTTTTTAGTGGATTTTCTTTCTTTTTTCAAGTCCGTCTAGTCAATTAAAAGCTAAAAGTGTAAGGATTTTTGAAATTTATAAATATAGAAAAAGTTTACTAAAGCCAAAAAAAACCAATAGAAAAGCTGCTAAAAAGTAATTCCCAAATCCCAACGTAGTCATGGTAAATTCTCCTTTGGTTCTACCCAAAGGATATAGTATCAGCTAAAATACGAGGAAACATTGTATATGCAAATAGGTACCTTGAGATGAAGTGCGATCTTTCTCATGTTTTCAATATATTCGGGAAGTGGAACGTGAGGACCTAAACCAGATGAGTGAGGCCCCAGTGAATCATTCCCGCCAAAGTAAACAATCACCAGAGAAGGCTGAGTAGCTGCATCCTACAATCAACAAAACACAGTTGCCATATTAGAGCCAGCTGTTTATGGGGAAATTATATTAACCCTAATTAAGGTAAGCTAAGCTGTACCTATATATGACACAATTCTCATATCAGGTGAAGCAAGTCATTCTCATAATTCAATACAAAATATATTGAGTATAAGTTGGGAGCATAATCAAGTAACTGAGTTTGCTATAGTAACCATTAACTCTCAAAGCATTTACCAAATCAAATGCAGTTTGTGCTATATATGTAAAATTCACAGGGAAAAGTAAGTGGTCTGAAGAAATTTTTGCAATAATCATAATAATAATAATAAACCAAACCAAGCCTTAAGTCCCACAAAATGGGGTCAGCTACATGAATCCTTCTTCTCTACTCGACTCTATCCAAGGCCAATTCGTTAGTCAAATTAAGGAGATTCATATCTCTATTTATTACACTACCCCATATCAATCCAGGTTTGCTCTTTCTTATGACACTTCCATCTGCTGTCACTATATCACATCTCTTCATTACTACCTCTATTGGTCTCCATTGTATATGACCAAACCATCTCAATGTATTCTCTCTCAACTTCTCTTCTATTGGTACTACTTCTACCTATTCTCATATATACTCATTCCTAACTTTGTCTTTTCTAATCTTGCCACACATCTACCTTACCATCCTCATCTCAGCAACGCTCATCTTATCTACATGTTGTTTCTTAGTTGCCCAACATTCCGTTCCATATGACATTGCTGGTCAAATAGCCATTCTATAGAATTTTTCTTTTAATCTAGTGGGTACTCGTTTATCGCACAGTACACCAGACATACTCATCCACTTAATTCTATAAAACCACATCCACTCCAATCTCCCCAACCGTTGCGATAATCGATCCTAAATAATGAAAATGTTCACTCTTAGGTAATTCTTGGTTCTCAATCTTCACTTCTCCTCTACTTCCATTGTTATTGTTACTAAAATTATACTTCAGTACTTTGTTTTAATTCTGCTTATCCTAAATCTTTTATGTCTCATCCACCAACACATTATCATCTGTAAAAAACATATACCATGGCACATCATCCTAAATATTTCTCATCAACTCATTTATAAGTAAAGTAAAAGATACGGGTTTAAGGTTGAACCTTGGTATAACCCTACAATATTTGAAAATTCACTTGTCTCTCCAACAAGTGATCTCATAGTGGTCACCACACCTTCATACATATCTCTAATCATATCAATGTAACTTTTTGTCACCGATTTCTTCTCTAACACTCACCAGATTATATCACGAGACACTTTATCATATACTTTCTCATGATTGATAAAAACCATATGAATATCTCTTTTCTTTTTTCTATACTTTTCTATCATTCTCCTCAAAAGATAGATGTTAAAAAACTGATGTATTATTGATTTATGTATTTTATATTTTACAAATGGTGAGGGGCTCCTTATATAGGAGATGTAGTGGAGTAGGTGGTAGTAGGTGGTAGTGGTAGGTGTGTAGTAGGTGGTAGTAGGTGGTGGTAGGTGTAGTAGGTGGGTGTGTAGTAGGTGGTAGTAGGTGGTGGTAGGTGTAGTAGGTGGAGTAGGTGATGGTAGGTTTTAACAGCCCCTCGCAAACTCAAGGGGGATAGGAACTAACCAACTTGAGTTTGGAGAGAGTAACAAAACAAGAAAATAATCTGAAAAATAAAAAATGGATAGGAGACACTGTATGGTCGTGTCAGACCGTTGTAGAAGACTGTATGGTTATGGCAGACCGATGTAGAAGACACTGGCTCGTGTCGGACCGATGTAGAAGACAGTTTATGGGGTCATGTCGGACCGTTGTAGCAGACAATGTTGTGACAGTTGTTGTGACAGTTTACGGAGTCTTGCTGGACCCTTGTAGAAACTAACCGGAATCAATGTCGGGACAGTTTACAGAGTCTTGTTGGGTAGTGGTGAAATTTTGGAAGACTAAAACCTGCTTTTCAAGGAGAGTTTCTAATAGAAAATATCTCTAGGCCTATTCTTGTTAGAGTGGCATGGTGCTTCTTGTCAATATGTAAAGGATGCAGGAGCAACAACTGAGGGAAGAAGATCCCAAAAATTAAGATCTACAATTTCATTGTGGGGTATTCGGTTGTTTTGATGCATTGACTGCTTGTTGATAGGTTTATTCGTCTTTAGGGTTGTCTGGGGCATCTATAGATGCTTCCCTTGATGTAAAATGAGATTTGAGTTAATTGATTGATTTCTTTGTTAAAGAATGAGTGTGAGCTGGTCTGTTCATTTGGTGTTGATATCATTGCAAGCCCATGTAAAGCTTCCGGTTCATCCCGTGACAATGGAGTTATGAATATAATATGGCTTTTCAAAATATGCTAAAACAAGACACTTCGCTAGAGCATAGCATTGGTCGCTCGAGTGAACCACGTGGTCCGCAAAAGTAGTGGATGGTCCGAATCTAGGCTCGATAATCGCTCGAGACAAGGTGCAAAAGAAAAGGCAGTCGCTCTAGCAGTAACTTGGTTATTCAAGCCAATTGCCAATACCAACAACAATTAACAATAATCTCATTTGAGACCCAAAATACACATGTATTGGCCCAAAGTACAAAACCCCTCTTTTAATTTATCAAATCAAATATAAATTAGGGCTTTTTATTCTATCAACATTAATATACTAATTTACACCCCAGTTAGTCCAAATCAGCATCAATGATAACAAACCCATTTTCAAACAACCAACCCTAGGTTCACCCCCATGGTTTTCAAACAAACCCAACACGGATATAATTTTCATGCAATACAAAACTACCACATGTCTATCTATAAACGAAGCATTGTAAAAGAACAAGGAAATTCCTACCTCAAATTCGGAGCTCAAATGGAGAAGATGAAAAATTTCGAAATGCTCCAAACCTCAAGATTCACGGATTGATAGGAAGCCCACACCGAGCTCTATGCTTTTTACAAAGGCACTAGGGTGGAAGATCACTCAAACTCGATCAAACCCTAGAGAGAAGGTTTGTTCTAGAGAGAGAGGCTCTCAAAATAGGGTTTTGAAAAGTAGGAGAGAGAGTGTGTGTAATATATTATAATAAACATATAAATATATATATATATATTAAAATAAAAGAAAGTTGAGTGGGTTGATTAAAAAAAAGGATTGTGAGTTTGAAAGTGGAAAATAAAGAAAAGAAAAGAAAGGGGATCATGTAGTGGAAGAAAAAGGAGCTGTCCTGTATTCTGAATTGTTGCCTCAGACCCACATGGGTTGTCAAAAAGTAGAATAAAAAAAAACAAAATGCACATGGGTTGGAAAGAGAGAGAGAGAGAGCAGCGTGTGTAAATTGGACTTTGTTGTTTGAGAGAGAGAGACCGTGGGTTTGGTCTCACCAAAAATCAGAAAGATAGAGAGAGCCCCCCCTGTTGTGTTTTCTCTTTTCTTCTTTATGCTCCTTAAGAGAGATAGAGAGGGTCACAAGATATATATCAATTGCTACTGCCCGGGCTGGGTCAAGACTGCCATGACTGGTTGGGCAGAGCATACTTCACCAGAGGAAGTTTGAGTGAGCATATAAGCAGAATTCAGTTGGCCAGTCCTTTTTGGCGAGGGCACGCCTGCTGGAACGTGCCCAAAATCATTGACATCAGGGGGCACCTTTCCACTAGGAGAAGCAGAATCACAGTAATCTGATGACCCAAGCGTCCCGTTGACTTGATCAGAAAATTGTGCTTGTGATGATAGTTCACGACTCCTTCGATCTAGCAAGTTTGCCTCTGTTGGTGTCACTGCCCTCCCATTGTTACGAGGAGACCTCATTGGTCCCTGATTCCTTCCCCTCCCAGTCGAAGGGTTCTGGTATGGATTCCGGGGCCTCCACCACGTCTTCCTCCGCCGCAGCAGCAGCAGCAGGAGGGTTCGCCGGAGTAGCCTCGGGTTCGGGTTCGGGTTCCGGAGCGGGAGGAAGCTTCTTTCTCGGCCACAGGGACGTCAGAAACAACCACTACTTCCTCAGTTATTTGCACCGAAGTCTCCGGAGCCGCCGGTTTCTGGGTTTCGTCAACCATATCTTAACTTGATCAAACCACAGAGAGAGAGAATTGTATGTGTCTATGTGTGCTGTCTGTGGTTTGTGCACTCAGCAGGTTGAAGAAAGGAAATTTCAAGGTATGTGTAGAAAATTTTAGTAGACTAGGTTGAGGTCCGGCGGGCGGCTAAGGTGAGGTTGCCACCCGTCGGGGAAGCGAAAATATTAGGTTCTAAACCTGCTCTGATACCATGTTAAAAAACTGATGTATTATTGATTTATGTATTTTATATTTTACAAATGGTGAGGGGCTCCTTATATAGGAGATGTAGTGGAGTAGGTGGTAGTGGTAGGTGTGTAGTAGGTGATAGTAGGTGGTGGTAGGTGTAGTAGGTGGGTGTGTAGTAGGTGGTGGTAGGTGTAGTAGGTGGAGTAGGTGATGGTAGGTTTTAACAATAGATCACTTCCATTGTTGACCTACTGGGCATAAACCCAAATTGATTCTCTAACACCTCTGTTATATCTCGCAATCGACCTTCCATCACTCTCTCCCACACTTTCATTATATAACACATTAGCTTGATTCCTTTATAGTTGTTACAGTTCTGCACATCTCCTTTATTCTTATAGATTGGCACAATAATCATAATAATAATAGGTCCATTAAATTTATTCCTTCATAATGTATAGGAACTAATTAAGGCTAAACTCCAACATGGTAAACCCATTTCAAGGACTATTATTTGTGAGCCTGTGACATTTTCTAGTAAGAAAAAATAAAATAAATAAAAGTAACCAACACCAATGTCATGCATCCCATATGTGGCTCTTTTAAAGTAAGGTTGCAAAAATGTTTCCAAAGCAGATTTTATTGACATGGGGAAAAAATAAAATATACCTTCGGAAAAATTTGATCAAGAACCTGCATAGCACGTCTTGAGTTCCAACCATAGTATCCTCGCAACAATATGTCTGCCTATATCATCAAAAAAGATAATATCACATAAGAACGAAAATAAGATATAGCACCATAATCCAACACACATGATGGCATATAATGCATATATGTTTCATGGGTGCATCATACGGAGAATTTCACATGTGACAAATAGGATCATTAAATTTACTTGAATTGGACTCCTATAATATAAGAAATTTTCTATATTAGTTATTAAGTCGATGATTGCAATCTATTTGATTTTTAAAACAGATTAAGAAATAAGAAAGTCATGTTATGACCCCACATTAATTTGGAAGTCCAAATTTAGAAGGATACTTACATTGAGGATGCCTTACAGTCACCCCACATATTAGTAACAGTTCATTAAGTTCTCTATAATTTTCTATCAGCAAGCAAGCAAGCAAACATTTAAGAATTTAAATGCTAATCTAAAGAGACTTCGAAGAAACTAAGACTTGGTAGAAAATTTTATAAGTACAAGCATTCTGATAAAATATCAAATTAACTTTTTTTAGGCTATATAGCCCAGACCAAATAGAGATACTTGCAGTTGGCAATAATTATTTACATAAAGGCTCCATTTATTTTGACATAAAATATTTTACATATGAAAATATTTTCCATATAAGTTGATTTTGCACCCCAAAAAAAAATTTCTTTTCATTTTCCAGTGTTTGGTTGACACTTGAAACAAAAACTTTTTATTGTATGCTTTGAGTGGAAACCAAAAAAAAGCCACCATTCACCTTTAATTGAACTTGGAATGACAATAACTTCGCAGAATTGAAAATATGTCTTTGAGAATTACAATGAAAACGAATTCAAATTTCTCAAGATTAAGTGTGCCCGGAACGAAATTCAGCTCGAACTTCCAAACTAGGAACCAAATTCGAGTCTTGTCTTCTCCCAAAACTCTCTTGTGCCTGGGTGGTTGTGGGTGCCAATTTCCATGAGAATTTGATGCCGTTTGGCTATTTTGGTGCATCAACGGCTCAAATTCAAAGTTTCTTAATTTTCTGTTAGGTTCAACCCAAAACCAATATTATTCAAGGGATTGAATATAGGAAATGCCTAACAGTACAGTTTGACAAAGGGTAAATTTTACTTTGCACTCTTACACTCTAGTCCCATTTTGTCCCTGACCTTCTAATTATTTCAATCAACTCTCCAAATTTTAATGAAGTTGCAATTGGGCTCATTTGTATAATGTCGTTCTGAAAACTAACGAAAAACAGAGTCAGGGTCCTCTGCAATGATTTTGTACAGTCCGGAACCGATTAGGGAAAGTACATTTGCGATTAATCTAAGATTTCATCAATTTAGCTGAATTGCCAAAATTAGGATCAAATCGATCTTTGTCACGACCCAAACCCGGCCCTATGGGTTTAGCACCGTAACCGGCCAGTAATCCGAGATTACCGAAGGCCTGCAGATACAGTAATACAGTAAAATAGAGTACAGGGCCTGGCGGAAGCCAATACAGTAATTAAACAATGTCCAATGAGCTGTGACAGTCTGTATGCAAAAGATTTTTCCATGCATTCATACATAAACAGTACAGAACAGTATGTACAATACTTACATCCATTCAAACTAGGGACTCAACCCTACATAACAGTACAGAAAACATTCCGTCTGTACAAAA